CTTAGTTCTTTTATTGGGGTTTTGTTCTGTTCTTTCATTTGGGACCTGTTTCTCTGTCTCCTCATTTTGGCTGCCTCCCTGTGTGTGTTCCAGTGTATTACTTAATGAGAGGTATGGGGCTCGCTGAGACTCGATGCTGCTCGTTTGAAAGAATTTCTGAAGCAGGATCCAAGACCGGCCAATCCTATGGTTAAGCGAGTGGCAACAGCTTGGGTGGGCTTGAAAGTTGGGTGGGCTTGAAAATTGGATGGGGTGGGGCGGGGCCTCAGGGAGTCAACAGGGCGGGGCTACCAGTGTGAGCCAGGTTGCTGGAGTCCCAGATATGGCAATTGTCTGCCGCCCTGGGAAGGGCTCACCAAAGGAACAAAGGCCTCTGACAGCACGTTTGTCCCCGAGAAAGCCCCCTCTCCAGCCCTCGCTCCAGTGCCAAACAGCTCAGTTCTTTCCTGTATGTCTCTGGCGCCCCTGGAGCTGCCTCCCCTCCAAGCTTAGAGGGAGTGATCTGACAAGTCTGTGCGCGGGCCCTTTAAGGAGCTGCCTGGGGCTCCAGCGATGTCAGCCTCCCTGAGCCTCAGTTCCCGCTGGTTTTCCAGCCAGAGGTTATGGGGACTTCTCTTCCTGGCACTGGAACCCTGAGCGGGGCACCTGGTGTGGGACAGGGACCCCTCAGTCCTCAGGAAGGACCTTCCCAGCCACGGGAGCCTCCTGATTTTTATCCGCCACACGTGGGTGTGGGACCAGCCCATCAGTCGCGCAGCTGCCGCCGCCGCTGCCCCTCGCGCCTCCGCCCCTCCTACCAGTCTGGATGTGGCTGCTGCTTTAATTCCGTAGTTGTAGGACTTCCATTCAGCTTGATTTCAGGCAGTTTTGAACGAAAGTTGTTCTGTAGTTTAGTTGTAACTTGGATGTGGTTGTGGGAGGACGTGATACCGTGTTTACCTACGCCGCCATCTTGACCGGAAGTCACAGCCTTTATTTTAAAGTGTATTTTGTCTGGTGTAAGTATTGCTACACCAGGTTTTTTTTTTTCATGAAATATTTTTTTTCTCCCTTTACTTTCAGTTTCTATGTGCCTTTCTATTTGAAATCAGACTCTTATAGACAGCATATGTCTTTTGATTGGAGCATTTAATGCATTTGCATTTGAAGTAATTGTTCATAGATATGTAGTATTGTCATTTTATTATTCATATTTTTTATTGTTTTTCCATTCTTGTTCTTCTTTTTTAACTAATCCTCACGTGAGGATATTTTTCCATTGATTTTCTAGGTAGAGTGGAAGGGAGGGAGGGAAGGAGAGAGAGACAGAGAGAAACACTGATGTGAAAGAAACACATTGATTGGTTGCCTCCCACACAACCCTGGTTTCGGTCAGGGATCGAGCCTGCAACCCAGGCACTTGCCCTCCCCTGGAATGAACCAGAGGTGCCTCAGTCCTCAGGCCAACATTCTAACCACTGAGTTAAACTGGCCAGGGCCCGTTCTTCTTAAAGAAGACCCTTTAACATTTCTTGTAATATTGGTTTGGTGGTGATGAACTCCTTTAGCTTTTTCTTGCCTGGGAAGCTCTTTATCTAAATGATAGTTTTGCTGAGTAGAGTAATCTTGATTTTAGGTCTTTGCTGTTTATCACTTTAAATATTTCATGCCAATCCCTTTAGCCCACCAAGTTTTTGTTGAGAAATCAGCTGACAATCTTGGGGCTCCCTTCTAGGTAACTAACTATTTCTATCTTGCTGCTTTTAAGATTCTCTGTCTTTACTCTTTGGCATTTTAATTATGATGTGTCTTGATGTGTGCCTCTTTGGATTCATCTTGTTTGGGACTCTCTGTGTTTCATGGTCTTTTATATCTGTGTCCTATATCAGGTTAGGGAAGTTTCTGTTATTTTTTTCAAATAGGTTTTCAATTTCTTGCTCTCTCTCTTTTTCTTCCAGTATGCCCATGATGTGAATGTTGGTATGCTTGAAGTTGTCCCAGAGGCTCCTTACACTTTCCTCATTTTTTTGGATTTTTTTTTTTTTTTTTTGCTAATTTGATTCGGTGTTTGCTACTTTCATATCCTTCAGATCTCTCATTTGATCCTCTACTTCAGCTACTCCACTGTTGATTCCCTGTAATGTATTCTTTATTTCAGTTAGTGTAGTCTTCATTTCTGAATGGTTCTTTTTATATGGTTTCTAGTTCATTTTTATGTTTCTTATCTCTTTGTTGAAGTTCTCACTAAGTTCATTTACTCTTCCCCTAAGTTCATTGAGCATTCCTATAACCAATGTTCTGAACTCTGCATTTGGAAATTTCTCTTAACTTTTCATCTTGGGGAACTCAAGAATGCCAACACCTGGTAATAGACCTACTGTATATGTAACATAGTTGGCATGTAAAAAACAGTGAAAAAGAATTATGTTCTTTCCTTGAGATTTAGTTTTCTTTAGCTGACTACATTAGTGATTAAGAGGATTCTGGGACCCAATATCTATTGTGTGTCTGGGTTTCTTCACAGTAACAATTCTCAGACACAAGCTGGGTGTCATACAATTGAACTCAATTCTAACACCGTACCTGGAGATAGCAGCAGATTCCACAGGTTGAGGTCTCAGTCCTACAGGACTGCCTCCCCCCCACCCCAACTTCAGACACCAGTCTTAAGTCTAGGTTGTTACTGTACTTATGACCTACAGGCTGTAAATTGGAGGTTCCCATGACCCCCTCCTTGGATTTGATTAATTTGCTAGAGTAGTTCACAAAACTCAGAGAAACATTTTACTTAGTAGATCACCAGTTTATTATAAAAGTTATAACTCAGCAATAGCAGGTGGAAGAGATGCACAGGACAAGGCATGGGAAAGGGCACACCTCTCCCAGGCCCTGTCCCAGCACACCGCTCTCCCTGAGTCCTCGGAGTCACCAACCCAGCTCTCTAAGCCTGTCCTTTTGAATTTGTGTGGAGGCTTCATTACACAGGCACGACTAGTTAACTCATAGGTCATTGGTGATTAACTCAATGTATGACCCTCTCCTCCTCGGAGTTCAGGGGTGGGACTGAAAACTCCAACCCTCTAATCACATGGTTAGTTCATCTGGTGACCAGCCTTCTCCTCAATTTTTAGGTGCTTTCCAAATTAACATAAATTAAGTTGTGGTTGAAAGAGGCTTGTTATGAATAATGAAACACCCCTTTCACCTTTATGGCTTTGAAGAAATTCCAGGAACTGAGGACAAGATACCAAATATTACAACAGAAAGATGCTCCCACTGCTCTTACTGTTCAGGAAATAACAGGGTTTGAGAGCTGTGAGCCAGGAACCCTGGACAAAGACCAAAATAGATATTTATTATAAATCACAGTATCACAGATATTTTCTGTTGTTTAGTTTTATTTAACTTCACAGAAACTTCTGTGTTGTCTTTATTTTTTTATTTTTAATTGAATTTATTATGGTGATATTGTTAATAAAATTATGTAGGTTTCAGGGTTACAATTCTATAATTCATCATCTTTATATTGTATTGTGTTCGCCATCCCAAGTCTTTATTTTTTTAATTTAAAAAAGTTAAAACTATTTAAAATTCTAAAGGTTTAAAAATTTTCCTGGTGGCTATTAAATATTCTGATGACATCAAGATGAAAGAAAGAATGTAATTATTGTTTGAGGTGAACTATTAACTACAGAAATATCCTATAGTCTATAGTATGTTCCACTGAACTGATTTTGTTGTAAGCACAGGACCCACGTGGTTCTGAATGAATGTACTAGGTGTTCTCTTACGAGCACCTGTGATGCTGTGGTGTGTCCACGTTTGAGCAGCTGGATGACTATAGTTTTGCTTATAGTTACTATATATTATTCATATTCTTCTCCACTCTTTTTTTTTTTTATCCTCACCCGAGGACATTTTCCCATTTTTTTGTTCAGGTAGAGTGGGAAGGAGAGAGAGGAACAGAGAGAGAGAGAGAAACATCGACGTGAAAGGAACACATCGAGTGGCTGCCACCCGCACGACCGACCAGGGCCGGGGACAAACTGCAACCAAGGTACGCGCCCTTAGCGGGAACCGAACCCGGGTCTCTCAGGACCACAGGTCGACGCTCTAACCGCTGAGCCAAACCGGCCAGGGCAATCTTCTCCACTCTTATAGTTCTGATATCTCTGTTTTATTGCAGTAACAGTTCCCATGTCTCTGCCAGTTCTGTTGAATTTTTGAAGGAGACAATATGAATGATATTTCTGTACCATTTTGAGGTGTAGGGTAGCCTCACGTGGCTCTGTCAGCAGATACTGGGTTTCCTCACACATTACGATGGGTGTTTAGTCATGTCCTTTCAGTCTCCAGAATAAGAACTGATCATTGGAAGGGAGCAATAGTAAGCAGAAGAAGATAGTTTTTTCAAATAGGTTGTAGACTCATGCTAGTTTCAAAAGTGCCTGTACAATTAGAAGGATTTAGTGCCCAAACTAGAGTCAAAACTCTCAGGGCTTACAAATACTTTGGCTGGCCCTGGCCAGTTTGGTTCAGTGGTTAGAGCGTCAGCCTGTGGTCCAGAGAGACCTGGGTTTGGTTCTCACTAAGGGCATGTACCTCGGTTGCAGTTTGTCCCCGGCCCTGGTTGGATTGTGCGGGTGTTAGCCACTCGATGTGTACCTATCACGTCGATGTTTCTCTCTCTCTCTCTCTCTCTCTCTTCCTATCTCTCCCCCTCTGCTCTGTCTGAACAAAAAATGGGAAAATGTCCTCGGGTGAGGATAAAACAACAACAAAAAAACCCAAATACTTTGGCTGGTTGAGTGCCTGTCTCCCCCTTACTCCCAGGAGCCTAGGTAATACCCCAACACCCAACACTCTTATCTGAGTGGAGAGGGCACAGGTAACATCTTCTGAGGATTTGGATGCTTGTGCTTCTAAAACCCTGTGGGAATGCTTAGAATTACAATTGATGTTCTTTATCCTGAAAGGACCTTTGTAATTACTGATGAAGAGTTGGCTTTTCTCCACTGCAGATTGACATCAGTAAATGCCATTATTTAGTGGATTTGGACACCATGAGAGAAACACCCCGGGAGCCAAAATATTCATCCAGCAGAGAAGAATGGACCAGCTTGACCTACAGACCATTCCTTGATGCTTCTAGGTATGTGGCTTTAATCCTAAGAGATGTACTAAGAGGAGTAAGGGTGAAAAATGGAATCTAGGATTGAATAACTTCCATTCCTGGGCTGACGGTGGTAGCCATCTTTTACTTTATTTGGATCGAAGCATGTCTTCTATCCTTGTCCAGTTTCCTGAGAAAACTAAAAGAGCACTCTTTTTTCTAGGCACCAGGATACAAAGTATATTCTGGTATTATCTAAGTAAAAGAATCTAAGTACGCCCTGGCCGGTTTGGCTCAGCAGTTAGAGCATCGGCCTGTGGTCCAGAGAGACCCGGGTTCAGTTCCTGCTAAGGGCATCTGCCTTGGTTGCAGTTTGTCCCCGGCCCTGGTTGGGTTGTGCGTGTGGCAACCACTGGATGTGTCCCTTTCACGTCGATGTTTCTCTCTCTCTCTTCCTCTCTCTCCCTCCCACTGTATCTGAACAACAACAACAACAACAAAAGAATCTAAGTAAAGTAGATCTACTAAAGAAAATAAAAATAAGTGTTTAACATTGATTATTTTCAGCAACCAACTTCAGTTATTTTAACTGAGAGTACTCTAACATAGTCAGGAAGATTGACTATATCCTTTAAGGAGGTAGAAGTTCATATCCATTAGTTTTAGGCACAAGGCTCAGTCAGGGATGGGATAGGCCTTACTAGATCCTAAATAGGGAGACCAATAGTCGAGGGCTCTTCAGAAAGGTCTAGAATTAATGAGGAGAAGGGAGTCAGGGGATTCAGGTAAAGTAATAATGGTGGTGGTGGGGTGAGTTTGGTTGGAAGGGTCAGGTTGTCTGTGGGCAGAGGTCTAGGTAAACAGACAGCTGAAGTTAAGGAGGTTCAAGGAGGCCTGGTGGGCAGAGCCCAGGATCCAGGAGGTCAAGCAGAGACTAAAAGGTAGAGGAACATGTCTTGGGAGGCAGATTGGGACTCAGAAACAGGGAAGAGAATTTTTGTTGTTGTTTTGTTTTTTTATCCTCACCCGAGGACATTTTTCCATTTTTTGTTCAGATAGAGTGGGAGTGAGAGAGAGAGAGAGAAACATTGATGTGAAGGGGACACATCGGGTGGTTGCCATCCGCATGACCCAACCAGGGCCGGGGACAAACTGCAACTGAGATATGTGCCCTTAGCGGGAACCGAACCCGGGTCTCTCCGGACCTCAAGCCGACGCTCTAACTGCTGAGCCAAACCGGCCAGGACGGGAAGAGAATGTTTTTAGGAGGTGGGGCAATCAGAAGCTGCTGAGAAATAAAGTAAAATGAAGGATAACTGTCCATTGGGCTTGGCAGCTGATAAGAGCAGTTTTGGTGAAGTAGTGGGGCAAAGCACTTGAGAGGTTAGATGGGTCAGAGCAAAACCAGAAGGAAAGAATTGGAGAAGGCAAATATAGACAAGTCTTTTGGAAAGTTTTGCTCTAAAGGGAAACAGAGAAATAGGGCTATAGATGGTGGTTGGTTCAGGAAAGTGTTGGCTAGAAAGATTTTTATCCTTAAAAAATGTTTTTTATTATGGTGGCATATATATGACATAAAATTTGCCATTTTAGCCACTTAAAATTCAGTGGCGTTAATTACATTTACAGTGTTGTGCAACCATTACCATTATCTTTTTTTAAATTTGAAATATAATTGACATATAACATCCATGTAAATTGCAGGGGTGGGGAACATCCAGTCCGTGGGCCATTTAAGACCCAAGAATTCAATACCAGCTAACATCACATACCTCACCAAATTAGTCTGACCAAATATAGCAGGCTAATTTTTTGTTGTTGTTAATCCTCACCCGAGAATATTTTCCCACTGATTTTTAGATAGAGTGGAAGGGAGAGAGAGAGAGGGAGAAACATCAGTGTGAGAGAAACACGTCAACTGGTTGCCTTCTGCACGACCCCAACTGGGGCTGGGGACTGAACCTGCAACCCAGATACGTGCCCTTGATCAGGAATCGAACCCATGATCCTTCGGTCCATGGGCTGACGCTCTAAACGCTGAGCCAAACTGGCCAGGGCTAGTAGGCTAATTTTTAAGTTGACAATTTTGTATGTCCCAACAATGATGTTATAAATATTCAAATGGCCCTTGGCAGAAAAAAGGTTCCCCACCCCAAGGTATACAGCTTGTTGGTTTGATATATTTGTGTATTACAATGTGATTACAACAGTAGCATAAACTAACACCTTTATCATGTCACATATTTATAATTTCTTTTTCATGTTGAGAATATCACTATTTCCACAACTTTACATGGCCTCAAACTGTTCCTCCCTTATTTTTTAAGATGAGGAAAATAACAGTCATGAGGAAAAGAAAACTGATAGAAATGCCCTCTTACAGAGCTGAGACCTGCTTAAGTAGGAGAAAGGAAAGAATTGCTGGAACCGTTTTCTTGACTTAGGTGAGGAGATGCACAAATAGGTGAGGGCGTGTGTCAGATGGACGCACAGGTACATCATCTCTGAGCAGCACTGTCCAGTAGAAGTTTCTGCAGAGATGGACATGATCTACATCTGCACTGTCCAACACAGGGCACAAGCCACTTGTAACTAGTAATCATTTGAAAAGAAACTACTAAGAGTAGGGAACTGAGTTTTCAGATTTATTTAATCTTTTTTTTTTTTTTTATGTTTTTATTGATTTTTTAGAGAGAGAGAGGAAGGAAGAGATAGAAACATCTGTGTGAGAGATACGTTAGTCAGTTGCCTCCTGCACACCCCCTACTGGGGATCAAGCCCGAAACCCGGGCTTGTGCCCTGACCAGGAATTGAAAAGGGACCTCTCAGTCCATGTGATGATGCTCAATCCACTGAGCCACAGTAGCCAGGCTATTTTTTTTTTTTTTAAATTCCTCAATTGCTGACATTTTAAAAACTTTATTTAATTAATTTATTTATTAAGTTCACACCCGAGGATAATTTTCTAATTATCATCAGATAGAGTGAGAGGGAGGGAGAAAAAGAGATAGAAACATCTACATGAGAGAGATACACTGACTAGCTGCCTCCCGCATGATCTGACCAGGTTCAGGGACGAGGTATGTACCCTTAACCGGAATCAAACCCAGGACTCATTGATCCACAGGCCAGCGCTCTAACCACTGAGCAAAACTGGCCAGAGCCATTTTAGTTTTATTTCATCTTAATTTATTTTATTTATTTATTTATTTATTTATTTATTTATTTATTTTTATTTTTTTATCCTCACCCGAGGACATTTTTCCATTTCTTGCACAGATAGAGTGGGAGGGAGAGAGAGAGAGAGAAACATCGACATGAAAGGGACACATCGAGTGGCTGCCACCCGCACGACCAACCAGGGCCGGGGACAAACTGCAACCGAGGTACGTGCCCTTAGCGGGAACCGAACCTGGGTCTCTCCGGACCGCAGGCCGACGCTCTAACCGCTGAGCCAAACCGGCCAGGGCTATTTCATCTCAATTTAAATAGCCAAACATAGCTACTAGACAGAGCATAATAGTAACAGGTAGTAACAGGCAGCAGGCAGGTGTGATGATGGGAATCTGGAACTTCTCTTCTGATGGCCTCAGTTTTCTCAGTGAAGAAGAAAGTAGGATTATCAGATGAAAAGGGAGAATAGGGGGGTGAGGTGTTAGAGATTTGAGGAGAGAGAAGGTGTGAAATAATTGAGCAGAGTAAGAGACAAAAGGAGCTTGAGAAATATAGTATGACTAGAGGACAGAATCAAGAACTCACTTGATTCTTGGCAGGGTAGCTCATTTGGTTAGAGCATCATCCTGATACCATGGTTGCAGGTTTGATCCCTATCCAGGCCACATACAAGAATCAAGCAATGAATGCATAAATAAATGGAACAACAAATCAATGTTTCTCTCTCTCTCTCTCTTTTCCTGCCTCCCTCTCCCCTTTCCTTCTCTCTCTAAAATTAGTAAATTAAAAAAAATTTTTTTAAAATACTCACTTGAGCCTTAAGTGGGACCAGTGTGGTTTTTCTTTCTTCCAGCAATTTATAGCTGGCAGTAGTGAATCACCAAACAGGCAAATTTAATAAGTTTTGTTGTTGTTGTTGTTAATCCTCACCTGAGGATATTTTTCATTGATTTTTTTTTTTTTTTAAGAGAGAGAGTGGAAGGGAGGAGGAAAAGGATAGAGTGAGAGAGAGAGAGAGAGAAACATTGATGTGAGAGAGACACATCGATTGATTACCTCCCACATGACCCCAACCAGGGCTAGAGATCAAACCTGCAACCAAGGTATGTGCCCTTGACCGGTATCAAACCCAAGACCCTTGGTCCAAGGGCTGACACTCATAACCGCCGAGCCAAACCAACCCAGGCACTAGTTTTTGTTTGTTTGTTTGTTTTTTAACAATTTATTGAAGTATAATTTATATAACATAAAATTTACCTATTTTAAGTATACAATTCAATAATTATTAGTAAATTTACCAAGTTGTGCAACCATCACCACAATTCAATTTTAGAACATTTCCATCACTCTGATAAGATTCCTCATTCCCACTCCCAGCTCCAGGAAACCACTCTTTATTTTCTATTTCTATAGATTTGCCTTTTCTGAACTTTTTATATAAATGAAGTTATATAATATTTGGGGTCTGTATCTGGCTTTTTTCACTTAGCATGCTTTTGAGGTTCATTCATGATAGCATAGCTCAGTGTTGTACCTTTTTATTGCTGAATACTGTTCCATTCTATGTATATACCCATTTTGTGTGTCCCTTTACTAGTTGGTGGACATTTGGGTTATTTCCACTTTTTGGATATTATAAATAATGCCGCTTGGAATATTCATGTGCCTGCCTTAGTGTGTAGGGTTGGGTTTTAGCCTAAAAAGTTCAACAAAACATGAAAGGGCAAGGGAATGGAAGGTTTCTGCAGGGAAGTGATATGATGATTGATGGCCTTAATTAAGGTAAGGAGGGAGAGGGGAAGGCATTGAGGAAGTAGGAGACTGAAGGATGGTAGGGTCACGCATGGATTGATGTTCAAAACATT